CAGGCTATAATCAGATGAAGCGATATATTAATCACAATTGGTCAAAAGCCTCATGCTTTGAATTGTTTTGGCATGAAAAAGGCTATTTCATTGCCAAATTCAAAGAGGAAGATGACCTCAAGGAAGTCCTATATGGAGGGTCTTACACGATTAATAATCGACCTATTATCCTGAAGAAATGGTCTCCTGATGTTGAATTCGATACAGCTTTTCTCAAAGAGATTCCCCTATGGGTCTCTTTTCCCAATTTGCCTATGGCTTACTGGGGAAAAGACTCTCTAAGCAGGCTGGGAAGTGCCATTGGAGTGCCACTATTTGCTGATGAATGTACAGCTAATCAGTCGAGAATCTCATTTGCGAGGATGTTGATTGAAGTGAACATTACTAAGCCACTACCAACTGGAGTCACAATACAAGATCCTTGTGGAAAGATGTACAAGCAAGTGGTGCGGTTTGAATGGCAACCTGAATTCTACTCTGATTGTCAACAGTTGGGCCATATATGCAAACACAATGAGGAAGTTCAAGGGAGGCCTCAGAAAATTCAGAAAGTAAATAGCAAAGCTCATCAGCCAGCAAAGGAGTGGAGAAGCAAAGGCAGTATAAAGCAGAACACAAGTAAGCCTCAAGAGCTAACTGAAACAAACACTAATTGTGTTGAAACAGTATCTCCCATAACTCAAGCTGCCCCTACAGTAGTTCATAATATAATGGCTGGAAAATCAGTGGATATTGCACAGGGCATAACACAGGCTAAAAGGCATGAGAATAGTATATTGAGAGACAAAAACAGTGTTTTAACTCCCAGAACAAATGTAGGTGGTACTGATTTTTCAATTATCACACAGAACACTTTTGAAGTGTTATGAGGAGGCCCAGGGGATAGACAACCACCAGATAGAGGTGGTACATCAGGTCCTTCTAAATGAATGTTCTCATGTGGAATGTGAGGGGAGCAAACCAAAGATATAAACAGAAGGAGTTGGGTAGATACCTCAAAGAACATCATATTTCTTTAGCTGGTTTAGTAGAGACTAGAATCAAACAACAAAAAGCTTCTGTTATTGCCCCTAAGATTGCAACAAATTGGGAACTAGTTCATAACTATGATCATGCAGTTAATGGGAGAATATGGTTACTAGTGGACAGTAATGTATGGCAAATAGATGTGATTCAAATAGATGCTCAATTCATTCACTGCATCATTAATAGCTCTACTATCAGATGTGCTATGACTGTGGTTTATGGGTTTAAAAGCTTAGAGAAGAGGAAGGAGATGTGGCAAAAGCTTAAAAGTCTTGCACAAACTATTAACTATCCATGGTTGTTGTGGGGGGATTTTAATGCTATCATCTCTACCCAAGATTGAGTATCAAAAGTTGCTCCTACTCAAGCTGATATACAAGATTTTGCCAACTTTTGTTCTGACACAATGTTGGCTGATATCCCTTGGAGAGGAAAATTCTTTACATGGACAAATGGACAAATGGGTGAAGACAGAGTAATTAGCAGGTTAGATAGAGCTTTGGGGAATGATGACTGGATGATGAATTTTGAACCTAACAGTTGAAATAGGAGATCCATTTATATCAGATCACTCACTCCTCACACTAAAATTCCAGAGGAGAAATAATAGCATAAGAGTGCCATTCAGGTTTCTAAATGTTTGGGCAGAACATCAAGATTTTCAGAATATTGTCAGGGAAAGATGGCAAGGAGAGAATAAGCCTTGTAAACTAGCTACTATTTGGTACAGGCTGAAAGCAATGAAACCTGTATTCAAGGACTTAAACAATAGAAGCTTCAGAAATATCACAGAAAAGATAAACCAAGCAAGAAGAGAACTTATTGAATACCAGCAAGAAATGAATAGAAATTATTCAGGCCAACTAAGAATGATGGAGAAAGAGGCCAGATTTCAATTAGAAAAATGGTCTAGTATTGAAGAGAAGATTATGCAGCAGAAATCTAAAGCTCACTGGATCAATGTTGGAGATGGAAACAACAAATATTTCTTTGCAATGATGAAGGATAGAACAAGTAGGAAAAATATTCATACACTAACAGCTCTGAATGGTGAGATACTAACAGATCCTAAAAGAATCAAAAAGGAGATAGTGAACTTCTATAGGGCCCTTATGGGAACTGCAGCTACTACTCTTCCAGCTGTTAACATGCAAATTCTGAAAATGGGGCCTCAACTAAATCATCAGCAGATAGTGGAACTGACCAAAGAGATATCCAAACATGAAGTAAATGAATGTATGCATGCTATGGGTAATGACAAAGCTCCTGGCATTGATGGTTATAATGTTGTCTTCTTCAAAAAAGCATGGGAAGTTATCAAGGATGATGTATATGAAGCAGTAGTGGAGTTTTTTCCTACTGGGGTGATGCCTAAGGCCATTAACTGCACTACAGTTACTTTACTACCCAAAATCACCAACCCTACTACCATAAAGGACTACAGACCCATTTCTTGCTGCTCTGTGTTGTATAAGATTGTCTCCAAAATCTTAGCACCAAGGTTGCAGAAAGTAATGGACTATTTGATTGATGGATCTCAAGCCGGATTCATTCCTGGGAGAAAGGGAGTTGATAATATCATCTTAGCACATGAACTGATTAAAGCCTACTCAAGGAAACATATATCACCTAGATGTATGATCAAGGTTGATTTACAATAGGCTTATGATATGTGGAATGGAGCTATGTGACACAAGTCATGGAAGGTCTGGGTTCCCTCACAAATTCACTCAATGGGTATCATCCTGTATGCATAGTGTGAGTTACTCTATCCTGATAAATGGTGAACTAACTGAACCCTTCCCTGCTGCTAAAGGCCTCAGGCAAGGGGATCCAATATCCCCATTTCTATTTGCTTTAGCAATGGAATATCTAAGCAGACTCCTCACTGATCTGAAGAAGGAAAAGAAATTTCATTTTCACCCAAAGTGCAAGAAACTGGGCATTACTCACTTGAGCTTTGCAGATGATCTGTTATTGTTTGCTAGAGGTGATAACCAATCAGTTGCAATGCTGAAAAAATGTTTTGATCAGTTCTACACAGCATTAGGACTAAAAGCCAACCTCAACAAGAGTTCAGTCTATTTTGGTGGAGTGTGCAAGGTGGATCAAGATATTATCATCCAACAGCTGGGGTATGTACAAGGTGAACTACCTTTTAAGTACTTGGGGGTCCCTCTTACTACCAAAAAGATGAAGATGGCACAATGGCAACCATTGATTGACAAAATAGTAGCTAAAATATCATCCTGGACTGCACGAAAGTTATCATATGCTGGTAAGAGTTCAACTTATTAGAACTGTTCTCTTTGGAGTTCAATCTTATTGGTCTCAAATATTCCTGATACCCTCCAAGGTGATCAAGCTTATTGATGCCTACTGTAGAAGCTTCATGTGGTCAGGAACAAATGTCATTACCAAACATGCATTAATATCTTGGGACAAAGTTTGTCAACCTAAGAGTGCTGGAGGACTAAACATCCTAAATCTCAAAAGCTGGAACAAAGCTGCCATTCTCAAGCTGCAATGGGACTTGGCAACAAAGGCAGACAGATTGTAGATCAAATGGGTTCATATGTACTATATAAAAGGGCACCCTTTAGCTACAGTTAAAGTACCAAAGCAAGCGAGTTGGATGGTTGAAAAGATCATGACTGTTGCTGGTCCAAATACACAGATGCAGGGAGATAATGGCAAATGCAGAATCAAGCAGCTGTACTTGCAGCAAATTGGAGCATTACCTAAAGTTGAGTGGAAAGCAATCATATTTAAGAATCTAGCTAGGCCTAAAGTATTTTTCTCCATGTGGCTGATCATGCAGGAGAGAATGATGACAACTGATAGGCTGAACAAATGGAACATTAACGTGGATCCAATATGTATTTTTTGTGGAAATCATCCAGAGACTCATGCTCATCTATTCTGGGAATGTACTACCACCACTGAATTATGGGCAGGAATTTTCAACTGGCTACATATCCAGGTGCAAATGAAAACGTGGGATCAGCTAATAGCATGGTTTGTGGAGAAAGCAAAGAAGAAAACTGTTGAGGGGCAGCTCTTGCGAGTGGTTCTAGCTGAAACTTTGTATAGTATATGGAATGAAAGAAATCATAGAGTTTTTGAAAAGGTACATAAAAATACTAAGAGCATCATTAGAGAGATAGCATACACATGTAATGTACGGGTTGTAGGCAAGCTTAAAGAAGTCTTGCACCAAAGACTTCTATAGGGTATAAGAGATATTTGTGCAGAAACTGGGTGAATCAGTCTGTTAAGGATAGGAGTACAGGGTAGAGTTGTGTATAGGATGAGTTGACCACTATACGATATAATTTGATTCTTTGGTGATTAATAATATTGTGAATAACCAAAAAAAAATACTGTAATTATAGGGTAATTCAAAGTTCAAACACACAAATATAAATAATTTAATAAATATCATTTAACATTTATACATAACTATATATGGATATATGGGTCTAAAATTATCATAAAGAAATAACATTATATGACAAAGAATATTCATATAATATTATTCCTTATATGAAAAATAGAATATTTCAATTCAGATATATTACCATATAAAAGATAATAGTTTATGCAAACAATATTCATGGTTTTTAATCATATTTCATCAATTGATATATTCATTTCTTAACAGGAAAATAAAGTAAATTTTTTTATTTAAAAGCTAATTATATTTATCCATATTTGGCACTCATTATGATTTTAAACCTTACCAGTAGCGTAATTAAAAGGCCATTCAAACTCAATAATATCTTTTTTAAAACTAATTGTTTCTTAACCAATTATTATTGCTTAAATTAAAATTGAAAGAAAGAAAAGTTAAATTCGATTGGGAAGGTAAATTTAATTTAAAACTTATTATGTGAAAATATAGAGATATATGAGTCTAAATTTTGATTGAGATAATCTGGTGGTACATGTATAATACTTTAGTAAATTATTTGAATTCAAAGGTAACATTTTAGTATATTCGTATTGCAATTTGAAAAATGTAATAAGTATTGCTACATAAGAAAATTAAGATTATGTGTGCCTTAGATCTAGGTAATTAAATCTGCATATTTACTTCATTTAGTGCTTTTAATTTGTTTATATTTTGAAGACAAATATTAATATGGAAAAATTAATTCATATTTTAAGTTTCACGTTTAATACATGAAAGTGAATAATTGATTGACAATCAAACGACATATATGGTAAAATAATATTGTGATTAAGATTCGCTCAACATAAGCCTACATAGAATACTATATATTCAGATTCTAAACTTGCAATACTATACGAACCTTCAGGTTAGTCTCTCAATTTTTCTTCTTTTTTTTCTACTCTGAATAATTTATGTTAATAAAATTACGATCTCTTCAAACTAATTTAGTATTTGAAATGCTTTTTTGGTTAGACTAATAAATTCTACGCTTTTATAGTTTTGTACTAGCAAAAAGCACAAGTAATTTTTGTTTGTCAAGCCATGTAGTTTGCGATGAGCTTATCTGGTATGCCACTGCGAAGGGATGGTTTGAGACAACTCCGTTATTTTGTTTTGGTTTATCATTTGTTCAATCTATTAGAATAAGTTGTTGGTCTCTTACAAATTTCACTACCAAAAAAAAATAAAGTTTTATATCTTTCTTCTTTTGAATTTTACTTTTCAGTTCTTCGGAAAAAAACCTCTTCCTCCTTTAATCTTATTTTACTTATATTAATTTTAATTTAAAGTCGTCACTTATTTTTTCCCCAATTTTTTGGTTTTACTATAATTATTTTGTTGTGCTTTATGATGATAGGCTATAATGGCATATTTTAGTCGCTTATT